ATTGGCAGGGCAAGCTACTATATATAAACAGGGAGCAAACACCACTCACTAGCACTGATGATGTTACCTAGTTGGGTAATGAAATGTCTGCAAGCAAACAACCAAGCTCAGACAGTGAGCTACATATATTTTCTTCTAATGGGCTACTATATTCTAAATAATTAGCTAGGGTTAGAATTAGCAGAAGACTCAACAGAATTCAGAATTGCTAGAGGCACTGAACAAGGGCGCTCACTGTTCTCTATCTTTAGAATTTTTTATATTTATATTAGAAAGCAATGCAGAAATCAGAGGGTACCATATAGATTCAAATCTTCAATTAGTAAATATTTTGTCTATGATTTAGCCTTAATGCTTTCCAAACCACATCAAGATCTTCTATCTGTACTGCATTTAATAGAACAAAATGGCTCAGTAGCTGATTTTTCCATTATTTATTCCAAAACTGAAGCAATGCTAATTAATATTCGCCCTAAGGTACAACAAACAATTAAATCAAGTTTGTAATAAATCTTTGAAATATTTAGGGAGTTACTATTCCACCCACACCCCCATTAATGAATCTTAATTATAACCAATATCTAAATTATACATATGTGGACTAGATTCGGTTAAGTTAAATCTATCAGTACTTGGTAAATTAGCAGTTGTTAAAATGATCCTTCCCCCCAAATTATAAAGTATTTCCTATAATTCCATTGTCAAACCATCCCAGTCTGCAGGATATGTTTTTTATCTTAATAATAAAAGAATGGCAATCTAGACATTTATGCAGACTAAGGTATTTTTGTATTAGAAATAAATCTGTAACTAAAACAGTATTAATAGAACTTGAGATACTCATGGTTCATGGTTTCAACAACTTAGAATTCAATTTTTAATTACCTCCCTGAGATAGGTAAAATAGCTACTGGAAAATTAAATCTTTTTTGAAGAAACATATTTACAAACTTTAGATAATCAAAGAGGAGCAGTTTCTAAAATTTATACTATTCTTAATATACTATCCTAAATAAATCTATAAAGAAATTGGGGAGGTGGAGTTAAAAAGAAACCACAGACTATTCAATGTGGGAAGGAATATGGCAGATAAAAACCTTTCTGAGCCATTCCTATATTTGTTAGAGAACACTCTGACATTAATTTGTAAAGAAAACCTGATACAGCTTAATTAATTTATAGAATCATATTCCCCAAATTATTAAAAAGGCTGTGAACAAAAAGAACATTTTGTGGGAATCTCATAAAATAAAATTCTTTTGGAATAAGAATGAAATAATTAGCAGTATTTGCACCAAACCATTTGTAGAAGAAGGAAAATTGTTTGTTTTCAATATTTTACAAGCCTAGTTTAAGAAATGTATCAAAATACATATTTTCCTGCCAGTAGCAGCCAGATTGACAAGAGTATTGGAAATCAGATTCCCCAACCTCATTATTTGACATATGATTGAATTAATTATGGTATACAGTATCAATGAAAAATTAACACATATACTAGGATGTATTAAACAATACTCAGAGCCAAATATTTTATGATATGCAGCATCTTCATATGCATTTTCTGAATTAATTTAATAAAGGTAAGATTCCTTAGGACTACTGAATATGCTGGTCAAATAATTTAAATGTTAATTTTATATACTATTGCTTTTTATGAGTTGCTTTATTTTTTAAATAAAGGAAAAAGAAAAAAATAATCAGTATACTTTTTCAGCAAGACTAGATTTAAAATATTTAGCAACTGAAAAATATTAAAAGGTGCTACATCCAGCACTGTATTATGAGATGCTAGTATAAGACCAAAATATGTTAAAGATTACTGTATGCACAAAATTCACAAGGGAAGAAAAAGCAGTTTTCTATTTTATGCATGGAAGGGTCCCCCACTCTTCCAACACAAAGGAGCACTCCAAAGAATAAGTATGACATACATTTGGAAGAAGGATCCCATTCAACCACCAATGGCTAGATCTGTAGGCTGAGATCTGAATAAAAGCAGCCCTCCAGCCAATATCTCCTATTGTAATAATTACCTATTCCACACCTAATTCATTCATACAGTCACAATATGATTTAACTTTTATATTTCTTTTTTCCTTTTTTTTTCAAATGACAGAAAATAATTACTGTTAGAGTTAGGTATGGTACTGCCTTCCATAATTCATTTATTAGTGTTCCCAGCTAGAGCCCTCTACGTGTGTGAATCACCAAATATGGCCATCTGGCTAGTGGATTATGACAGCTGAGCCTATTACACCTAGAAGGAACCAGATTGTTAACAGCTGCTCAAGAATATGCTTTCAGTTTACATGGGATAGATCAAGGAGGGTAAGGTAAGGTGCTGGAGAGAAAGGTCAGTGGGACATGAGCAGTGGCTATGGGAAGGAGGGAAAGGAAAGTGCTGGGAAGACCAAGGGGCAGGTGGGCTGGGGCAATATGCTATGCTTGGACATTAGCAGTGATGGCTGAGAGAGAGGAGGGAAAACTGGCAGGTGGGCAAACCAGCGAGATGCCTTGCTGATAGCCCAAGGGAAGAGAAGGGCAATTTGTATCAGCCTTGCCCAACCTGCCTAAAGGGCAAGGCTTTTATTGGATCTGAAGCCAGACAACCAAAACATTCTGGATTGTTTCTACTGAATTATGGCTGGCCTGAAACTATTAAGCAGAACTTCTGGAATGCACTGGTTTGTTCTGGGTTCAAAACAAAACATTTTTTCCATTTCATACATACCTTTAATGATTATTATAAAATAACTGAATTTAAGATTGCAGCCCTCAAAGAAGTCTATAATTTTACAATATAAATTCCAGCCCTCAAAGAAGCAATATAATTTTACAAATGTAAGAATTTTAGTTATTGTTTCCTTTTATTGTTTTCTACATTTGATGTAAGCTGCCCAGAGTCATTTAGGAGTCAGGTCATTTCCAAATCTCATAAATAAATAAACAAATTATAGTTACACCCACCTTCTTTATCCTGGATCTTGGCTTTGACATTTTCTATAGTATCAGATGGCTCAACCTGTTATAAAAGTTTTAAACCACACTTAAATGCTTATAGGTTCAAGCTAGCTATGGATACATATGATGATGATGAGGTTACACAGGTCTATTAGCCTATAAAGTGTTTTAACTGTTTTAGCTTAAAAACACTTCTTGCAGTATATGTTGCCCTTGGCATGACAGCCTTCAATTCTACCAGTTATGTCTAAAATTCAGTTTATCCTTATATTTGGAATTATGAACAGATTTAACCAACATGACCAACGAAGCTTTAACATGCTTCATTACATATCACATGCAGAAAAATTGAGGAAAAGAAAAAGCAGTAAAATAAAAATGGGAAACAGAGAAACAAGAAAATATTACAGAAATAGTACATCCCTAATATTTATTTTTGTAATTTAAAATGTTATATGCTGCCCTTCAAAACAAAGTTCCCCCCAGGATAGCTTAGATTCAGAATCAATATCAAGTATCTAAAAAGATAGGAACAATAGCATAAAATAAATCCTAAACAGCCTAAAATATGTAAAGATACAGTAAGGGATTCATATGGGTAGCACAGGATATTGGACATAAAAGTAATGGTTAACAGCATAACACAAACCAAATATTCCATTCTAGCAATATGTCCCATTTTAAAGCCTTATTTATTTCAGTATTTTTAATCTCTAGGCAAAAAGCAGGTGAAGTTTTTTCTAGCATTGCAAAAAGTAAGTTTGTTTCATTAAATGAATTAACACCATTCAAAGGGAACTTTTTGCCCTCGTGTCTCTTTGTGGGCTGGCCAGTATGGGAAACAGGACGTTCAATCAGAGAGGCCTTTGCTACAGTTTTTTCTTCTTCTGACCCACTTTACCTACACACTAGAAACAGCAGCGAAACGTATCTGCAACTACGTCAGAGGTTTTGTGTATTAAAAAGAGGAGCAGAATTTTGAACACTGTAAACTATCTTCTGGATGTCCTGCATGGTCCTTCAGTTTTCTAACCAATGCTATCTTTGACTTACTCCTTTAAGCCTCTGCAAAAGTGATAGTCGTCTTCCTACTAATTTACTTCTTCGTAGCATTATTCCATTCAAGAAAGTGCCAATTCTCTCTGCTCATTTCCCCGTTTTAAAGCCCACGAGGAAGAGCCTTCTCTTTTAACTTCTGCCTCGCAGCGAAGCGCCGTTTTCATCCACAACAATCCAACGACAAAATGCCCATCGCCACCCCCGAAAGAGACGGAAGAACAGCAAAGGTAGAAAAGGGAAGGGGCTGAAGCCTTGAGAAAAGAGCAGCGGTTACAGGCCGGCAGACCAACCACCCTGGCCGAATCCCATCCCAAACCCTCGTTTGGCTCCCTGCTTCCCTCACCTCGAGGGTGATGGTTTTCCCCGTCAGGGTTTTCACGAAGATCTGCATGGCGGCGGTAGAGCGCCTAGCGATGGTTGTACCTACAAAAAAGAAAAAAGAAACAGCGAAAAATCAAGGTCTCGCTCAGTGCCAACCGTGAGAAAGAGAAGAGAAATTCGAAATAGGCCAAGCGCTCACCCACCACCAGCTCTCAGAATGGCCGACGCCAGAAAGAGAGGCTAGTCGGCTGCGCACGGGGTTTCCGAGCCTTGAAACAGAGGAAGGCCCATGCGTCGCCACCGTAGGACTACAACTTCCAGTACTCATCACCTTTTGAAAATATTGGAAAGCATGATGGGAGTAGTAGTTTCGGTTAGCGGCGGCGCCTAGTGATGTCGATGAGAGAGCCTACTGCCGATAGGTCGCGGAAGAATCATCAGGGTTCTAAACTGAAAGTTAAGTAGACCGGAAAAAAAAGAGAGAGAGAGAGAGAGAGAGAGGAAGTTGGGATGAAAACTACACTTCCCATCATGCCACCGAAGTCCTTTAGTTTCCCCTCCCTTCCTGATTAACTTAGTTCCGCCTGTTTGTTACTAACGGTTGGCTTCTAGGTGAGTTAGTGGGGAAAGGAGGTGGGTCTTTTTTGGCAGCGCTAGGAGAGAAACGAATAGGCCGCTTCCTTAACGGCATCTCGTGAGAGCGAGAAAAAGAGTCGATGGCCGTGCGTTGAGGTAGTTTTCGTAGAACCCAGCGGCTGCTTGGAAAAAGCATACGGGCTCCTGCATTGTAATGCTGGAGCTCCACAGACCTAAGTATTATTAATCAAAAATGGTGTTACAGAAATACTTCCAAAGGGCCTAAAATGTTTAAATGATGTATAGGAAGTTGTTAGGTAAAATAGGGTAATCGATTCCAGACTATTCTCTAATAGGTATTTTTAAAAATAATTTCCATTTAGTTTTTTTAAACGATACAATAAGTGTTATTAAGAATGAAACATAAATGTCATGTTAAATTATTACAGAAATATTTTTAAAAAACTGATCAATAGATTGACAAACACTAAAAATAATAAAAAATGCCAATAATATAAGTGAAATTTTCAGTTCTTTTCCACATATCAAAATAGTAATATTTATATGCATTTCCACAATTCAGTTTTTAAATAACAAACTGAATTTTTGTTTGAATTGTTTAAACTTGGACCATATGGAATCATACTGTCTGATCTCCCCTCAATGCAATGCCAGTCCAAAGACTAAGAGTTGACAAATATATGTTTTGGGGCGGGGGGTGCATGTGGCCTTAAGGTGCTACTGGCAAATGCCAAGTTGGTCTGAAATAAGACTGCATCCAGTCATAAATGGGTGGTGGATGAGTATGCAGATCAGGCGTGCATTACTAAGACCTGGCTAGGCAAAGGCGGTGATGCCATTTTCTCTGAAATCTGCTCAGCTGAGGACCTACATTACATCCCATGTTAACCTTGAGGGGGTGGCATGGGTCTATCAGGTTATTGTTAGTGTGGTGGCAGGGTGGGAGTACCTTTAAGTTGGGCTGATGAGAAGCTAGGGGATACATTATTATACTGTTCTGCTCAGCAGAATCCTACCCTGGGCTTCTTGACTTGGTTGTTGGGCTAGTGATGGAGACCCCCCTGCCTTTTGATGTTGGGGGACTTCAGCCTGGTATTATGCACCAAGTTTGGTCAGACCCAAGAGTTCATGGCCTCCATGGCAACCATTGGCTTGACTCAGGTAATCTTGGGCCCAGAGCAGTTCCTATGTGATTTGGATATAGAGTGTATAATTGTCAACCTTTTGCCATGGTCAGATTACTTCCTGGTCCAGATGAGACTGGCTGCCACATAGAACCTCCATTGGGCCATACTTATTTGAATGGTCCACACTAGGAGCCTCATGCTTTCCAGATGGCTTCCAGTGAGTGCTTGGGGAATTTCCCAATAATCTGGCAAGTGAATCTTTTGAAGGCTTGATCTACTTTTGGCAACGTCTGGGAAACTGGGCCCCAATGAACCCAGCCCCCTCAGCAGCCTCTCTTTATTAGCCAATCTTAGATGGCTCCTGTAGCCTTTGGGTTATGACCCTAATTGAGACTGGAATTTCCACCCCTAAGCAAAGCGGTTGTTAGGCAAAACATGTGATCATGCTGCTTACCACTAATTGCAGGTGAGGACTGTACAGTTGGGTGAGGAACTCACACTTCCCCTGCCCTGCACAAACTGCCTCCATTTCATCTCCCACCTGCCTATCTCCCCCCCATCTCTGCCCTTTTGGCTGCCCTGCTCAGCCTAGCCAATATGAAAAGACTGGTGTATTCCACCACCACTGCCCCAGCTGACCATCATCATCATCTCTGACTCCCCTTCCCTCCCCACCCAGCCCAACCCCAGCCTGATCTGGGAGACACGGAGGGATTGTGTTGTAGTGGTTCTACTCCTTCCTCTATAGGTAGTTCCAGTCAATGTGGAAGGAGAAGATTGGCCCAATGGTTTCTCCCTTGTGAGTTACCACAGGGATTGATCCTCTCCCCCCACCCCAACCCGCTTTTAACATTTTCATAAAGCTACTGGGAAAGGCCATCCAGCAATTTAGGATTTGGGATCATCAGTATGCTGATTATACCCAACTTTACATTACTCTCCCAGGGCAGAACGGTGATGGTGATTGAATCACAGAATGGTGACTGAAATCACATCTCAGTGCCTGGAGATTATGAGGGTCTGGATGGCAGAGGACAGGATTAAATTGAACCCTATCTAGCAAGATGGAGTTATTGTTTGTCCATCAGGATTCTCTATCTACTCCAGTGGTGTCTCTTGATGGGGGTACTGCCCCTAATGGAGCATGTCTGCAGGTGGAAGCCACAACCAAGTGAGCCTTTGCCCAGTTTCGTCTGGTGTGACAGTTGTGGCTTTTCCTACCTGTGGTGAGAAGGCATTGCTACAGTGAGAGATGCTCTCATCACCATCCATTTAGACTGCTGCAATTTGCAGTATCTGAGTCTGTCTTTGAAGGCCTCTCAGAACCTGCAAATTGGTTCAGAGTGCAGCGCCTCATGTGCTTACTGACCTTTGCTGCTGGGAGCCCATTACACCAGAGCTGTAGGCCCTATACTGGTTACCAATAGGCTTCTGGATAGAATTTAAAATGCTGGTGCTAACCTGTAAAGCCATACATGGCTTGGTGCCTAGCTACATGTAAGATTGCATTATGCCATTGGAATCAGTCCTGCCAATTCAGTATACTCCAGATAAGCTAATAGTGGTTTCCCCTTTAAGGGAGGTAAGTAGGAGTGAGGCTTGATGGCACTGCTTTTTGGTGGCAGTGCCATTCCTTTGGAATGGCCTTCCAGTGGACAACCAGTTGGCTCCCACCCTGCCACCCAGAAACAGTCCCAAATAAAGCTTCTGGATGGCATTTGGGACAAGTTTCCATCTTGGTTGGGTTATAATTTGGCTTTGTTATTTAATTTTATTTTTTAAATTGGATTGTAAATCTTTTTTGTGCATGCATTTTTATTATATATGGTTTATTGTGTATTTTATATTGTAAACCACTATAGTTTTGGAATTGCAGTGGTCTTTAAATGTAATAAATATAATTATCTTTTTGGCAACAAACCAGCCATGATATTTACAAAGGTCTTCATAAATAGACATAACTCCAAATTTTAGGAATGTAGCAACATTAACATATTTAAATCTTAATATCCTTCCAAGAACCTGAATAATACCATAGCATTATGACAGTAATATCTTACAATAAGGAACTATCAGTGGATACATTCAAGCATAGGCCCTAGCATTCCTTCAAAGTTATTACATCTTATTGTAATAACTTTGTAATATTGTAATTATTACATCTCCAGCATAGGAAAGATCCAACCTTTTTTTAACATCTTCTGAGAAGTCCACTAAGCCTGAAAAAGGTTTTTTTTTCTGAACAAACCAATTTTAAAATGCATAGAATGTACTTAACATTTCTTAGAACCTGAAATGATTTGATGATATAGGATATTCCAGTTCCGTGTTACAGATGTCTTGTATATTGTCCACGTTCATTTTTGCAATTTTAAAAAACTTATGTTTTAGCCTGTATAAAAGCCTTTTTCAATTACTTACTAGAGTGTCAGAGGCTGCTAAGGCATCAGGGCCAGGTAAGGAACGTGACAAAAGCTTTAGCTCTATATATTGCCATTTTGCTGTTTTGGGGAAATTGTATTCCAACAGGAATGATGTAAGAGAAGAAATGAAGAGGAAGGGAACTGGAAAGTAGGAACTTCTTTGGGTGATTGATAGGACTAGGCCCATTTTGTCCAAGGAGTCACTAGGTCTAGACCATTGTGTATGCATATTTGGCAGCTCTGTAGCCCCACATAACAGCAGCTGTGGTTTAATCACTTTATCCTAAATGGTAGATCCATATAAACATGCTTTGCAAGCAAAACTGCATAACTTTGAAGTAACTGTTACTATAGTTTTATGGGTGCCTTGTGAGGGTTCTTTGTTATCCAGGGACTGGACACATCACAGCATAGCCAATCTGTACAAAATGCTTTATTGCAACACACATCTTCCCCCAACAACAGACTATTGTTCTTTACCTGTCTAGGACTTGCAAGGTGATGTTGTCATGTACATATGTCTTTAATACTCAGTACCTTAATATTTAGTTCAAGCAAAAGTCTATAAACGCATAAAGTCTGTATAAATATATAAAGTTTGTAAAGTCTGTAGAATGGCATATAACCTTTAAGCCTTTTCCAAATATTCTTGCACTAGTTGAGATAAGGTGCTGCTTCAGTGTGCTTGTTCCTCTTTTGGTTGCTACTGAGCTCCCAGCAAAACTCCAAGCTCTAGGCAGGACTCCCACCAAGATACACTGCTCACCACAACCTGTGGTCTTGGTAGTTGAATACTAGTCCTCTTGCCTGCTTGTAATAACTATAGTAATAGACATCACCTATGCTTCTCTATCTGTAGGCTGTTTGCTTGTCACCTTTCCTCTTACACACAGACCTCCTCCACCACCCTGTCTTATGTTTGCTTTTCTAAGCTAAGATCCTGGGTGGGGTGCAGGCTGCTTGTGGACGTCTGCACATCCTTGAAAACACCAGGGTGTGGCTCATTATCACAGGCAACTGGAAAGCTGGCCTGGATGCTTGTGAGTAGTCAGGGAAACAAGGGAAATGGGGTGAGAAGGGTTTCTGGCAGGCTGCATCTTGCTTTTCCAAAGCACAGGCAGCAACTCCAACTTTACTCCCTCACATGCCTATGATGTTTAGATTTTGGGTGATTTATTTTAATTTCAGATTATAATGCAAAGAACTTCAGAATCTTTATCTGAAAACTGAATGAATCTCTAAAAAAGAAAAATGCCATATTTGGTGTGGATAGCCTCAGTGTTTAAAAATAAATGATTAAAAATTTAAAAATAAATTTTAAAAGTCCTTTCAGCTTTGTAAATGTTTTGTTCCTAGCTCATAGCTCAGTTTCTTAGCCTGCAACCCACACTTACCTGATAGTTCTCACTGAATTTGACAGGAAGTACTTAAGATCTGCAAAACCTTGCTATTATATCCTACCTCTTCCTCCATATTAAATTTAATATGGCTATTCTAGGGCACTGCAACTAGATTTATGGTCCTTATTTTACCTGGAAATAAGCCATGTAGAATGCATGCTTAAAGTTGATGTGTTAGATAAAATTTACATTTCTTTTATTGCTGTAGCATTATTTTTAGGTTTTGACTGAAGCATGTCTTCTGATCAAAAGAAGGAACTGATACCTTAGTTGCTATCTGCAATGGAAATTTAGCTGTCTTCTCCACCATGAAATCAGCCTGTGTTGGAGCAAGTAAACACTCAGTGCTTCCTCCCATCATCCCAGAGACTGAGAAGGAATTTCTGGAGAGCATTCAGAGTTATATCATTTCAGAAATTGAAAAAGTGGGCTGTACTAAGCAAGGACCAGCAGAGGACTATTATATAATATACAGAAATGTATTTGAAATGGTAACTAAACACTGCTAAAAATATTCTGTTTTTCATGATCAGTGAATGTGATCTTTATGGTTTTGGTATATTGTCTGATTTATGCTGAAATCAGTGCAAAATAATAACATGTAGCATGAACTAGTGAGGTAGCTGCATTGCCTATAACATCAAATCTTCTCTGCTAGTCTGTTAATAGTAACACTGATTGATGTTTTTTAATTGTAGAATTTTTTTAATATTCTTTATATTGTGGTGGGGTTTTTTTTTTTTGTATGCCACCCAGAGTCACATTTTGTGAGATGGGCAGCTATATAAATATGATTAAATAAATAAATAAAATGTTCGTATAATTGTATTTTAGCTTAATAAGCCAACATATGAATGGATATTTTAGCTTGACATGCATCCCCTCTGCTCTTCCCTTCATTGATAAATGAAGTAGAATTGTTTTCATTAACTAGAATTTTCCATTTCATTTGAACCAGCAGCTTTAAAACAAGACATGATATCAAACTAAGTTCAGACTAGGGACTGAATACTTCCTTACAAGGAAAGACTACAGTGACAGGGGGAAAATATAACTACAGAAAACAGGATTTTTTCTAAAAATTAACACTAAAATTATACAGAGTGTTGTGAAAAAAGGAACAGTTTCCTCCCTTTAATAGTAGTGTCAATGTAAGATGACCAATCTGAGGTCAGGGGCTACACAATCGTTTTTTCTTCCCAACACATGCATACACACACATTATCCAGTCTTCTTGATCTTCCTATCTCACTCTGAGGGATCCTTTCCCTGAGTATGGCATTGTGGGCCAGATAGCCTCCGAGACTACCAGGGCTACCACAGGTGCTGGCCCACAATGTGTTACTTTGAGAAAGAAGCCCTCAGAGCAAGGCATTTGGATTTGCTGGTTGTTGTACATAGCCTAATACCTTGCTTTGATGAGTATTCCTATGAAAGAAGCATTCAGCCCATTGGCCACTTTAAAGTGGTTTTTTTTCCACTAATACATGAGAAGAAAGGAGATTATAGATTTGTTTCTCCCTAAACTGTTAAAAAAAAGCCCTACAAAAATGGTTGGAAAACTAGCCAGGATTAGATCTGTTTCAGATTTAATCAGATTAGCTCTCAGTTAATCTGGTGCTACTTTACTGGGTACATAAATTATCTAGAGGTTCTGCAGGACTCTGTGGTATTCTATGAACAGGATCCTTGGCTGCATTCCTGTTGCATTTGCTATTTAAACTTCCCTCATTTGATGTCTAGAAAAGTATGACATACCTCCTAAAGATAGAAAAGAAATAGGCAAGGACAGTCTCTCCTTTTTCTTCAGTCTCTCACTTGAAGCAAATCTTGCCCTGCCTTCTGACAGTGTTAATTTGCTCTTGACATTCTGGTTGTTTCATCCTCTTCTATGAGTTTTAAGCTGTTCTGTGGGTTTTAAGATGAAGGAAGGTGGTAAATATAAGATAACTTTATTATAAACTTGAAACTTTGGGCTTAGAAGTATGTATTCAGTTGGTGAGGAATAACAGGAAATGTTCATTGCATTCATTTCCTGCTGATGGGCTTTCCAGAAGCATCTACCGAGCAATGGCGGGGAACAAGATAGTGGACCAAAATGGTCTTGTCTTTTGATTCAGAAAGACTTTTTTCTACCTGTGATAAGCTCAGCTCTTTAAGAGTTCATGGAATGAATATTTTCTAACGTTTATTGTCTCACTACTAAGCAGTGATGGCAAATAATCAGCTTCTATATTGTTAAAACAGATAATTGAGCATGTTAATGCATACAAGAACATTCTGACTACAATCAAGCAAGAATATGATGCTTTTATAGAAGCATTAAAGGAGGGCCGGCACAATGCATTTTATCTTCATGGAAAATTAAAAATGTTAGCATGTGAATCTTCAACTTTAATGTATTATAAGAAGAGAATAACTCAGCTGGAAGAAAAGTAAGAACCTCTTTCACTCTTTTGCAGGGGAGATATTCAAGGCACAATTTTGAACTAGTCTCTTGTACAGTGACATGATCTGATTTGAAATTACTAGTATTGTATGGGATTTTTTTTTCATTTTTTAAAAAGTATTTGTAATATCTTATGTTTTTGTGGATGTTTACAGAATGAATATTTAATGCAAGTTAGGTTTAGGAGAAGAAAGGCAAATAAGAAATGCTATCTATTTATATATGACAGATGAAGACACTGAAGGCACTGCCACAGATGACCAAGTAGAATTGCACTGGAGTTTGCATGCCACCAGATAGAGATAGCTAGCAAATTTGACATGAAAGGGACGTATCTCCAGTATACTAGTGCACCACACTATGCAAAACAGTTCCACAGCACCCTCAGTTCATCAGTTGGATACAGTTAGATGTTATATTCCAGTGAATGGTGATAATGGAAGAATCAGAGGTTAATTTGGAGAAAAACTACAACACTCTGAAAGACTGCAATCCAGAGGAAAAAAGTGTTCTATTATGCAGATGGGTGGATGAGAAAGTACCAAAAAGTGGGCTACTTAAAGAATGAATGGAAATTATTACTGTTTGATTAATATCTGCCTAGGAAAAAGACCTGTTTAAGCATAAGTCTATTCATATGTATACATGGCAAAGGAATGAATACATATTAAAAAGCATAATTGATTTCATAGTTTATGAAGAAAATTTGAATTAGTGAAGAATACAAGGGATATTCACTATACATAAGGCTGGGTGTCATCAACATAGCAATGGCACCACACTTCAGAATTTTGAATTCTTTCTTCATTAATTCCATGTAGGTGGTGAACAGCATGAGGGACAAGATGGAACTCTGTGGGACACTATAGGCTAAGTCCCATATAAGCAAACTGTTCCAGAAGCTTACAAACTGCATACCACCAGAAGAGATCAGAGATATGTTGGGAAAGAAAAGTGAGCAAGGAAATGGTTATGGTGTCTTTCCCAAACCTGGTACTCCCAGATATGTTGGAATTAACAACCAGATTGGAGAAGGCAGGGCTATAGGATGTAGAGGAGGAAGAAAAAGAGAATCCTTATAAATGCTTTAATAATAATATTTTTCTCTGTCAGGTAGTTCTTCAATCAAAACATATGATGATTTTTTAAACTTTTATGTTTGATGATCTATTATTTTAAACGTGCATTTAGATTATTTTGTTGACCAGGAATACATTTAATGTTTTTTGTATTATTATTTTGTAAGTTGGCTAGAATATGACTTACCAAAATAAGGCTTAGTACAAGTGAAATAAATGTTGTAGTTCCATCTTGCTGTAAAAGCTTAAAGTATGGTAATAATACAGTGGGGCAAAAAAGTATTTAGTCAGCCACCAATTGTGCAAGTTCTCCCACTTAAAAAGATGAGAGAGGCCTGTAATTTTCATTTTAAAAATCAGACAATGTGATTTTCTGGATTTTTTCCCCCATTTTGTCTTTAAAAATCAGACAATGTGATTTTCTGGATTTTTTCCCCCATTTTGTCTTTAAAAATCAGACAATGTGATTTTCTGGATTTTTTCCCCCATTTTGTCTTTAAAAATCAGACAATGTGATTTTCTGGATTTTTTCCCCCATTTTGTCTTTAAAAATCAGACAATGTGATTTTCTGGATTTTTTCCCCCATTTTGTCTTTAAAAATCAGACAATGTGATTTTCTGGATTTTTTCCCCCATTTTGTCTTTAAAAATCAGACAATGTGATTTTCTGGATTTTTTCCCCCATTTTGTCTTTAAAAATCAGACAATGTGATTTTCTGGATTTTTTCCCCCATTTTGTCTTTAAAAATCAGACAATGTGATTTTCTGGATTTTTTCCCCCATTTTGTCTTTAAAAATCAGACAATGTGATTTTCTGGATTTTTTCCCCCATTTTGTCTTTAAAAATCAGACAATGTGATTTTCTGGATTTTTTCCCCCATTTTGTCATTTTTGCTCACCGTTCTTGTGATCATTTTGACCCCACGGGGTGAGATCTTGCATGGAGCCTTTTAAGTGGGAGAACCTGTACAATTGGTGGCTGACTAAATACTTTTTTGCCCCACTGTATGGTAATAGTCCCCATTGGCTATGCTAGCTGGGGAATTATGGAAGATGAAGCAACACGCTTTGCTTTCATTTCTTTTAGCTGTAGACTTTACCCTATCAGCCTATGTCCCCTCCATCTTCATTCATTCACTTTGTCCCCAAATTCCCAGTAAAATTACACAAAGCTAAGTAACTCCCATTAATAGTATAACGATTTTTAAGGAAATACTTAAAACTCAAGCATCTAAAATCCCAAAGGGCTTTATAAGTCCTTTTCAACTGCTGAAGTTATAAGCAATTGCCTATAGCAGATGAGACAACATTATGTAATGTAAAATTTGAATTGCTTCTATTTTAGAATGAAAAGAATTGAGAAGAATTCTGCAAGAACTGAGAGCTTGATACAGAAACTAAGAAGTTTAAGGTTAACACTCTCAGTTAAAGAAGATTTAACCAAAGCCCAGAAGATTAATCCTGCTAAAAAAATTCCAGGTAAGATGTAGCTGTTTGTAATACAAAAATAATTTTTTTCTCATATTAGGAGCATGAACCAGCATCTGTATTATATTGCAGTGTTAATATCTAAGATGGTTTGAATAATTATATGTTCTCTACAACATTCTAAATCTTAGCTGAGCCAGGATTGAGGGCCAAACCAAAATAGAGAGACATATGGATGATGCCCTTTCTATCTAGTATTTTTTATGGATGATTACTTTGGGCAAAACTGTCATTAACTATCACATGCAATATATGAAACAGTAGAATTTATTTGTACTTAATATCATATGGATATACAGACCTCTTTTCTTCTAAGTCAGAATATTGACTAATCTAATTTGCCCATCTGTTGTCTAGTCTAGTTGGCAGCAGCCTTTAAGGACTAGGGCAGAGAGAATGGAGTCCCAAACTTCTACCTCTGGAATATTTTTAGTTGGACATACCAGGATTTGACATTGAGTCTGTAATGCAAAGCATGCATTCTACTTGTGAATTGTGGCTTCTTTCTAGTTATCCACTTCAGAAAAGGAGACCTCTCTGTTGACTTTAAAGTCTGGTTATAATAACAGTATGCTTTTTTGTTGTAACATAATTTGTACAGTTTGAATTTATAGACAGTTAATATGATCATAGATGGAAATTCATAGGAACATTGCTCCTCCTTTTTTTCAACAGGTCTTAATTTGAAAGACTCCCTTGATATAGATGTCCTCTCTAAGCACCTAGCTCATCTACAAAATAGGTTGAAGGAATTGAAAGAAGACATGTTGACAAAATACATTCCCATAGAAAATACAGCCAATGTTGAGGAGGACATGAAACGTGCTCTTCATAAGCGAAATATGGCTGAAAAAGAGAATGAGAGTCTGAAGCTTTGGTATAATGGTCCCTTTTACAATATGCACTTACTTTTTCTTAAGGAAATTCAGGGTATTTTTCTTCCTTCATTCTTTGAATAGTGGAAATAGTTATAATAACTTTGTCCCCTTTACTTTCATCAGATTAGAGGAATGGCTTAGAATAGATCCTAGAATTGTAATTTCTAGAATTTTCTGTTCTGTCCCAACATTTGTGGTTAGATTAGTACCAACAGAAAGCCCAAGAACCTTCAACTGGAACATAGCAGCCATTAACATGCTTACTGGGGGGAACTCAATGTGTAGAAGACATATTAACCCCAGGCATTTGGGTCACGAGGTCAGGTGAACTTTGCTGCTGTTGCTGTATTTCTTGATGTGTTTCACTAAGAAAGGGGTTGTTGATCTTTGGGCGCCAGGAGTTGTATGCCATGGTTTTTGCATTTTAGTCATTGTATGCCATCCAAAGTCATCATTGTGAGATGGGTGGCTATATGTATACAAACACACACACACACACAAATAAATAAATAAATAAATAAATAAATTTTGCATATATAAGGCTCAGTTCCTGGGACTTCCTGGCACTATTAAAGGGGATAATAACAATTTACAGTATAATAATAGATTATTATGAAACAATCAGTTGAAGTTTATTGGATACAAGCATTAGAAAATACCACCATGTGAAATATGAGAAAGCCACTGTCAGTCAGAGTAACTGGTAGTTGGTTGAATGGACCAATTGTATGATATACTGTAATATTAATAAAATTTATAATTAAAAATAAATTTAATTAGTATGTGTAGGGCTTGTTCATGTATTACGTCATCAACGTATGTTCCACTAAAATACCACAACAGGCCTGCTGAATCAGGCCAAGGCCCGTTTTAGTCCAGCATTTTGTTTTTCACAGTTGCCAACCAAATGCCCCTAGGATGCTGGCAAGCAGAAGATGAGGTATATTTTTTTCCTACCATTGTTCTCCTTTAATTGAATTTAGAGGCATAGTGCCCCCAAGCTGAAATTAACATTGTGAACCCATTTAATACAAATATAAGTGAATACAGAATAGCAAGGGACTTTTTTCATAATATGCATATGAAACCTGCTTTTAGCATGAAGATTTGCCAATATGAGAAATGCTTCCATTCAGTCAACATGCTTTGCAGTTGTATGCAATAACTTATTAATAATTGCAGTGTAGTTATGTATGTATACATAACATGCCACTTGACAAATCTAGACATTGGGAAAATTCTTTTTCTCAGGAGACTTGTCCTGTGTTTATACAAGGGAATAAAATGATGTTGGAAGGACAAGCCTTGGAGGATTCGAATTACAGAGTGATATTGATGTAGCCACATTTCAGCCAATATTCTGTTCTTTATAGTTTTTATCGGCTAACTCTGTTTGCAAATGTGATCACTATCTGGGAAAATACCGACAGGAACATTGACACTCTGCAGCAGCTCATCTTTCAGATGATAGAAAATGAGAAACTTGCAAAAGGTAAAAATATATTTTCAGACTTCAACTTTTTACAACAAATCAGCAAAAGAAAGCGTATTTGTGGTGTGTGCCAAGTCAGCATGTCTCTGTTATGTGGCAAAAAGACTCTGTGTCATTTATTTGCACAAACAGGGCTCATATTGTCTTTATTTTTCTTCACTGGGCTTTGTGCTCTATACCTATGTTGTGGGAACTACACTGATTACAAATAGGTTTCCAGGGTGCATTTTGTAGTGTGCTGATTGTGACTTATAAAGCCATTTATGGCACAGGTCCTTGTTACCTGTGGGACTGTCTTTTCCTTTTTTAAAAAATAATTTTATTAAGGCTTTTAATAAACATAGTAAAGTTAACACAAACTATATTAAAAGAAAAAGAAAAGTGCAGAAAAAAGAAAAAAACAACAACAAAGACAGTAATAAAGAAGTGGCTTCCAACCTTCATTACACGGAGCATAAGCTAATATACTAACTTTTTACCCTCTTTTAAAGTTACAAATTAAAAAAAAAACTCTTCTCCCCATACCCTACCTTTTATCTATATGCAATCCAGAAATCATCTTTTCAATCCTGATTCAGCAAAAGTCCATTAGGAGGTACCAGAAATATCAAACAAATGGTTTAGCCCTGGTGAAATAATCCAACTTTATATTCCTTCTTTTTGCTCTGCACAATCTTGACCTTTAAATCCTTCTTATCACAGGATTTGATCTTTCATCACTCTTTGGTATTTAAAAGAAGTCTTCAAAGCTTTCACCAGCCTACTTTGTAAATTCCATAAAGAGGCGTTGTCCAAGATTTCTCATCGAAGCTGTTCCAGATCCAGATCCTTTCCCATAAAGAGGCATCATCCAGAATTTCTTGTCACAGCAGTTCCATGTCCAGATCCTTTTCTTGATTTATCTTTTGCTTTCCCATTTTAGTAATCTCAATTTTGTTGCCTTCAAACTCTATAATGTCTATGTCAGGTGAAGGTTTTTTAAAATTTTTCTCATCACCTTCAAAAAGTTTATCCATTGAAATCTGTCATATTCCATTGAATATATCCTTTCTGATATATTATTTATTAATATTTCAATCCATGTTTCAGAAAATGCTTTCATATAAGAAAAAGTTATAGCTGGCTTAGCCATTTTACTCCTTTCTGCCTGGTCATTTGGTTCACTCTAGTGTTCATTTGCAACCTTCATCAAGCCTCAATTCCTAATATGGATTTAGTTCTGTTTCAGAGGCTTCCACAAGTATATTATTTAATTGTAGACTTGTTTTTCAAATCTTACAGCAAAAATAGCCAATATTCCAAATCTCTCTGGTCTCCCAATCCATTTAATACTTTCTTAAATCAAAGTCCTTGCTCCCCCTTTTTGCCAGTTGTATATTATTTTAAATTTTTAAAATTTTATTTAAAATTTCTTAAATCCAAAGAAGAAGGTAAAACTCACCAGGTGTCAAATTAAGCTTGCCATTTTGAAGGTCTCTAATATCCATAAAGTAGTTAAATTGAACATTTCCAAAAGTGATTAGAAAGTGAGTTTGACTGGCTTTATGTCCCTATGAAAGGCTCCGCTGCTGCTGAGAGCAAAGATGTCTTCTCCCTCAGCTCCTGGCACTCAAACCCCCGCTGTTTTATGGTCTCCTTGCAAGGAGCTGCCATTCAGAGCACTCATGGGTAATCTCCCGATCTCTTGTCTGGAGAAATTTGAAGGACCAGTCTTTTGTTCTACACAGTGGTCATTGTCTCTGCTCATTCACAGAGACATCTTTAGTCAGCCATGACTCACACTGAAAGGCTGGGACTGTCTTTTCCAAATAGGATCTGCCCACCTTGTGCATTCTAACCAAGAAGGTTTGCTTCTGATTCCCCCTCTTCAAGAAGTCAAAGGGAAGTGAGTGTGGATGCAGGCCTTCTCTGTGGCCACTCCAGCCCTATGGAATACTCTCAGTTTAACTTGGTTCCCAGCCTTTTACCTTGCAGAGCAGGTGAAAATCATCCTCTTCCATCAAGCCTTTGAAGTATAGGTGGTTGGTTATTATACCATTTGGTGCCTACATTTTATTATATGGTTTTACATTAAATTTCTGGATTTTATGTTTCACAATTTGTTTATATATTTGATTGCTGTGAACCACCCTATGATTGGGATGGCATTCAAATCCTGTGAAACGAAATTCTCAGATTCTCCCTATGCTACTTCCTATGCCTGGACTTGCTTCCTTTTCTATTATAGTGTTTCTTCCTTGTTCTAGATTTATCAACAGGGTAAAGAGAGCTCCAGCAAGGCCTTTGAAGTGTAGGCCACAGTTTGAAGTGGTGAAAAGAAGTGTGTTTCTACTGCAGATGTACCCCTTGCAAGTTCGTGATTTGGCTAATATGTATTCTGTTTTTGTTTTCTAAGTGTATAAAATATTAACTTCTTATGAATGGATCTAACCTTTCAGATTCAATTGCTTCTAGTGTCTCAAGTGTATTTGAACGTGATCCTTCTAAAAGCAAAGAGGCAGAAGATCTGATTGAATATATTGAAAGGTAAGATAATGAGAGACTCTTCTGATCTCCTTGCTGTCTCTTTATTTAGGCAAATGAAATTGCTTAACACATCAAGCACACTAAGTCTGTGCATGTTTGAAAATATGCTTTATGCAAATGCAAGACTTCTCTGTTCTTCATTAAAGTAACCTGTCCTTTTTTCATGCTTCTGTACAAGCATGAAAGAAGATGTAGCTGCTTAAGAAATTGCTTCATTAAAGTCATTCTTAGAGCAGCCACATTTTTATAAGATTCATACAGAAGTCTGAAAAAGGCAGTCTACTTTAATGTAGAGCAAAGAGATGTTGCACTTACTCGAAGTGTGAAGCACTTCTTCAAATCATTTTTGAAGCACACATAGTCCTAATACTTTCCCATTACCTATCTCCTACCACAATGAATGCGCTCCACAAGAGCACAGTGCAATATAGCAATATAGTGAGGAATAGGAAGTGAAAACAGAGATACAGACTTTTTATGAGACTTGCAGCACAAAGTGCTAAGTAGGAAGATAAAATCTTGCCCAGTCAAAAAGTTCCAGTGAAAAATGTCTTTTTCTTGGCAAAACAAAACGAAGGAAATGTTTGGAACAAAGACCCTCAGACTGTTCCCTTTTATTAGGCCAATGCAAAATGAAACTGCTACTTTTCCTGCCTAATAATGAAGAAAAATTATTTGGGAACCAAATATGCATTAGATATTTGTCCAGTATTGGACAGAACGACATGAAGATATATGCTGCTGCTCTGGAGATCTTATAATTATTGTTGGACTTACAAGACATCAGTAGGGGACAAAATCAGGGATTGATATCACTAGTGAAAAGTTACCTAGGCAGGTAGAGATAAGGATGATAAGAAGCTAGAGATAGTTTGGGCAAGGATTTATTCTGGAAAAACAGAACTTGAAAAAGTAATGAAACCTGAAGTATGATTCATCTGTTCCAATGGGGAAGTTTTCACAAAGTTGGAACATGTATTTTTAACTCCTTTCACTTCTCAGTTTTGGGGCACAAAGGCAGGGTACCAAGTTACTTTACCTATTGTTTGACTTCATTCAGATTGCCCTTCCTCCACAGCTCAGCTAGCTAATGCACTCACTTGGCCAATAATAAAGCTGTTTTTGTACCCATTCTCCATCACTTACAATGTTGTAATCTTTGAACTGTGCTAGGTTCAATGAACTGTTTTCCCGTTGTCAGTATGAGGCCGCGGCAACATATGCAGCAAACTGCCCTAGAGGAATCCTCCGCAATGAAGAAACCATGGAGAAATTTAGAGGTATGGACCCTCAGATACAATCATTCTGAGTTCAAATCCTTCTTTGATGGAAGATCTGAGCTTGAGAGTATAGAAAGCAAGCTGCAGCAAGCAAATGCTTTAAAAAATATTGCTTTTTCCCTTCAGCTGTTGGTCATATTAAAGGGAAGATCCTCCCTCTGCTTTTATACTGTGACGCACTCATAACTACAACCATTGCTGTTAAGAAGCGTCTTCCTGCAAATTTGACCACTGAAGCCATCAAATGTGCTTTAGCTGAGAAACGATTAGACCTGGTGATGCATTGGGTCACTTTGCACAAGTAAGTGGTCATTCAGAATCCTAGCTCAGTAGCAGAAGACATGCATTATGTACAAGTAGTCCATGGTTTCATTCTTTGGGAATTCCATATAAATAAAACAAATGTTCAAGAATAGCAGAATCTTGGGCAGTGACTAATTGTCAGAATATTCAGTACTAAGCTAGATGGCATATTTCCAATACAGGTAGTCCCCAGGTTAAGAACACTCAGTTCAAGGTCGGCCCATTGTTAAGAACAGAGCCTATTATAGCAAAATCTGAATTAAATACACAACGATTCAAGTTAAATACACAATGGATTGAGTTAATTACATAATACTACTTATACAGTATTATACAATAATACTATTCTGGCTTACATACAAATTCAACTTAAGGACAGACCTTGGGAATGGAACACATTCTTAAACTGGGCACTACCAGTATAGCAGTTGCTGAAGAAATACTATTGCTTCTGCTAAACAAATGTCAGTGGTACATTCTTAGACAACAATTCCCAAAGGAATTTTCAAACTAAATCAGCCCATCTCCATCAGACTCAATTCATCTAAGCTGAAGACAGGGTGGAATAAGGTGTCTTTCAGAAGGAGGGCAAGGATATTTATAGTTAGGAAAAAGCAGCAAAAATAGAACTCAATTCTATTATCTTCCTGGCATGGAAATTGTTATGGTAATGTCAGAAGGCTCAGACTTCATTGGGAGGGGCCCACTGTAAGAAGATAACCTGTAGATTCTTGCATTCATAGTAAGATACAGCAGGCATTGCTTTTTTAAATTGTCCGTAATAGCAACTACCTTCTTATTTTCCCTTAACTCCAAGCAGGAGGGATTTGGAATGATGAGGATTAATCTGGCAAGAAGAAAGGATCACCCATGCCTTTTCTTTTAGTTCTCTCTAAAAGCAGAAAACATGGCCAACTACTAGACATATTAGCAAGACATACCAACATTAGCAAAGTATTTTATCAACACAAAGTTCTAATTCAAGCTTTTCTTTTTACTAAGTCTTGAGATAAAGAAAATAAGAGAAATTACCAATTAAACAATATTCCCTAACCACCCATATGCTTGCTAAACATCCATTATATGCAAGTTTCATTGGGAGGAAAATTAGTAGAGACAAAAGCAATAACCAGCCCAGTATCTTTCAAAAAGACTATGATTTTGATAAGAGGATGAGGTTTATTGCTTACAGCTCATCTTCCATTTTTAAGTGGGACCACTACCTATTCCATCTCCAGAAGCTTCTGGACACAAGGAAACTGTTCCATCATTGGATATTCCAAGGCTACTCCAATGGAAATAACAAATGGCTCACTGTGCAGCACAGAAGGGATGAACCAGATTTCCCAGCAATTCTCAGCAGGAGGGTCTTGTGGTGCTCTGGGTACAAAGGCACCATGGAAAAGAGTGCATGAAAGAGATCCTTAAAAGACACCTACAATTCCACATACAGCCTTGTCAACCTTGGTGAACATAGGAGAGTAGCCAGTTTTGCCATTTCTGATAGAAGCAGCAATGGTTTATTAAAACAAGGGCAATGACAGAGATGGCAATGAGCACCAGAGAGAAATCACAGTCAGATCACCTATCATTCATGGGCTCCCTTTCATCCTTACATCCTGGTTGCCTTTGGCTTTCAGATTGCTGTTGGGGACTGGGGGTCTCTGAAACATGGGATGAGTTCCTCCTCCTGCCCTATTCCAGGCCAGGTCATGGAGATCTCCAATCTGTAGCTCAGTCTGCAAACTCCAGGTGCAGCCAAAGTCTCTGGACAGCACAGCACCAGGAGTCCAGGGTCAGCTTAAGAGGCAAAAAAATCACCAGCTTAATGGGGAAGAGGTATCACCTGTCAGGCAAACCTACGGGGGCTCGTGATTTCCTCTGCACCATCTATCAAGCCTATAAATGCACTCCAGTGAGGTTTATTAAATCAGGCATATAGGTCGGGCATGATACCACTTGCCTCATTTCTATTCCTGTTGGATATTTTCTGATGTATATTCAGATCTTACTCAATTTACATGGAGACTGATTCTTCTTAGGAGAAGGAGAGACTTTTAAGGAGTAGGAAGCTGGGCTTTGGTAAATTATACCCTATTTTCTAAGAGGAGCAATGAATGAGGAGAAAGAAATAGTGTTGTGAATTCTTCATACATGCTTGTCTTCTTTTTCTTTTCCTGTATACCTTCTCTTTATCATAACTCTTAGATTTTAAGTTATTCTTCTAAAAGAATAAGATATCATTATCATTATTGTTCCACTTTTCTTTACAATGCCCCAGAATCCTTCAATTATCTAATGATGTTCTGTTGGCTTTGTTTCTCCCAGACTGGAATTCTGTGAGGCTGCTGGTGATGCAATCTATCAGTATGCAGAGGTGGATAAGCACAACAAGTCCCAGTGCCTAGCTTTGGCTCAAATTGCATACAGTGAGTGTGGAGCACACAAAAAGGCTGTTCTGTGCTTGTGCAAACAGGGCCAAATTTATGGAGCCATGGATTATCTACATCATTTCCAACCACTTCCCAAAGGTAAATTTCAGAGCTATACTGTATATATTTCTCTATTTTAAATTCTATCTGATAGTGTTGCAATGGTGTTCAGGTGGCTTTCAGTACAGTTGTGTACTTTAATACAGTCATATTAAAACCATTTAAACCAGCTGTTAAAAATACAGCTAATCCCCAGGTTAAGAACACCCAGTTTAAGGATGACCCATAGTTAAGAACGGAGCCTATTGTAGCAAAATTCAAGTTAAATACACAATGGTTTCAGTTAATTATACAATACTACTTATACAATATTATACAATACTGTTCTGGCTTACATATAAATTCAACTTAAGGACAGTACTGTTCTGGCTTACATATAAATTCAACTTAAGGACAGTAAGGATGACCCATAGTTAAGAACGGAGCCTATTGTAGCAAAATTCAAGTTAAATACACAATGGTTTCAGTTAATTATACAATACTACTTATACAATATTATACAATACTGTTCTGGCTTACATATAAATTCAACTTAAGGACAGACCTTGGGAACAGAACTTGTTCTTAAACTGGGGAGTACCTGTCCTAAAATAGCAGGAATACTGTATCCTACTGAATGGCTTGTATAAATAAAAAGGATCTTAGCTAGTCTACAGAAAATAATCTGCTAGGCAGCCTTAGGAAAGAAGTTTCATAAGGAGCCCACCACTGTTGAAGAGACTCAGCTATGCTGACCTCAGAATGCAGAAAGAGTTTCTACTGGTAATCTCAAAATTCATGATGAGAGACATAGGAAAGCAAGCTTTCTGCCACAGGGCCTAAAACCCTCATTTATCAAAGACAAAGGCATATTAAATCTGTAGCGCAAGTAGGTCACAAATAATAATGCCACCAACAATGGCTACCCATTCTGGACATTATTTACTGTTTTGTGGAGCCAAGGGGGAGACAGAAAAAAAAAATGTTTTTCTCCTAACAAGAGACTACGGGAGCACTGGAAAAGGAATGGAAGAGAAACTAGACATAAACAGTCAAAAGATAGCAGGCGAGTCAGTTGACAGTTAATTTCACAAATGTCATCTTCCCCCAGGTGGAAAGAAACCCAGGAAGAAGCATTTTAAATCATTCAAAGAGATTCTGCCTGATTAACTCACTATGAGGGTGGGAAATTCTTCTAACTAGTTTTCAAAATTCTATATTTACCCCAGACTAGAATTAAAGATACTTTACTGAAATCTATGTAATTCTTACTTCCTTGATTTTGCCCAGCTGCATGGGACTTGACAGGTATGAGTTCCTCAGTCATGAATTGCATTAACTACATGAAGGAGTCCTGAAGTTACGGTCTTCTCAGTGCCTGTGAAAGAGGACAGCAGTTTGAGAAACACAGCAAATTTTGCACGTTTCTTCCATTTTTTGGAAAACAGATAGCTAGTTCTATTCATCAAAAGGGCTGTTACAAAAAAAAAATGAAGGAAGCCCCGCCCTAGTGGACTCAGAGATAAGTTGGCTTTTAAAAGTGAAAGTATTCAGTTGTCAAGATAGCTGTAACCCAGCCCCTTTTCCATTTTAATCAATCTGGGTAGAGGCGCCTCTATGAGAATCTTGCTCTTGGATGTACTCAGCAGTCAAGAGTTTGACACCTGGCAATAGATGGAGTACATTTCATAAATCCTGGGCAGGGTGTTAGGCTAGAGAATAAGAGTGAGACTTACAAAAACTCAGGACCGACTACAACACCAAGAACTAGGTCCAGCAACACAGAATACAAGGGAAAAAAGCATGAGGGAAGAAGAGGGAGAAGAGTGTAGAAGAGGGAGATAGAGATGTGCAGGAAACTATAACAGTGAAGCCACTAGGGGGTATAAGTCACAGTCTCAGTTGGTTCTACATTAGTGCACAGAACATGGGAAACAAAAGGGAAACTTGAAATCCTAAAACTAGAAGATAAATATTTATTTATATATCACATTTATATAGCCATCCATCTCACACAAAGCAACTCTGGGCGGCTATATAAATGTGATATATAAATAAATAAATATGATGGCATAGGCATCATTAAAACTTGGTGGGATGACACACATGACTGGTACATAGCCCTGGAATTCTACAGTATATTCAAAATAGTTGTTTTTAACCTTGTATGCTGCCCAAAGTCACTGCTGTGAGATGGGCAGCCATATGAATCATTCAAATAAATAAAAGGAATAGACTGAACAAAAAGGGACGGAGCACTGTACTGTGGGTGAGGCCTTACCCTGTCAGCTGACCAGCTTTTCAAAGACACATGCAATACTGACAACGGGAGAGTTCAGCTCCCCAACCACCTGCTGGAAATCTATCTTTTGCAGGAGTCAGAGGTCGAACAATTTTTTGTTTTCTTTTGCTGGCAATTTCCTATGTCAGGGGAAGAAAGAACAAGATTAGCTATCCTGAACTAATCTTTATCAACATGGAGGAAATGGTTGAAGGCGTGAAGTTGACTGGGAGAAAGTGACCATATTATTTTTGAATCTATATTGTCAAGGGGACAATAGTGAAGAGTCAGACTTGTATACTGGATTTTACAAGAGAGGATTTTAATGAATTCAGCCAGAAAGTAGGTCACATCCACTAGTCTGCAAAATGAGATACTGAAGGTGCAGTTGCAAATAATTAGAAGGAAAAATAGGAAGTATATTGGGGTGACTATATGGGTGGATACATACAGACGTTCTAAAAAGCTGAAAAGAAAAAGAGACATGTATGGAAAATGGCATGAAGAGCATATAACCAAAAGATACAAAGCAATTGCCAAAAACTGTAGGGGGTGTGACAGAAAAGCTAAAGCTCTGAATATGCTGAGGCTTGCAAGAATTGCCCAAAACAACTACCAAAAAAAAGGCCTTGGGGCATACATTATAAAGAAAAGGAAAGGCTGCAAGATCTGTTTCAGAAAGAAGGTATGATGTGGTAACAGGTGATACAAGAACATCTTTTATTTTACATCTGTCTTCTCTCAGAATGGAAATGAAGCTCTAATTGGCCGCTATTGGAAAGAGGGAGCTGCAGAAGATAAAAAAACACATAACTAATTTCAAAGAATTAATGTGTCCAAAGCCAGATTAATTTCATTTTAGAATATTGAAGAAACTAGCAGAGGTGATTACAGAATTATTAAGAGTTATGTCTGAAAAAAATTATAGAAGCAAATGTTACTGTTTTCTTCAAAAAAGGGAAGGAAGAGGACCCAGAATTACAGTGCTTTCAGGTTGATCTCCGTACTAGGCAAGGTCTTCAAGCAGCTTATTAAACAGCAAGTTTGTGAGCACTTGGATAGGAATGAAGGTCTGAAGAGCCAGGATGGGGTTGTTACAAACATGTCATGGCAGACTAACCTCCTTTTTTTGATGGAGTTATCGTGGGGGATGCCATGGACATACTGTACCTTGACCTCAGCAAAGCATTCAGTAGAGTCTATCAGGATATTCTTATAAATAAAATGGTAAAATATGGGATAAATATACAGCTGTTGGGTATATTCATAATTGCTGAGTGGCTGCACCAAGAAAATACAGTGGTACCTCGGGTCACGAATGCTTCTGTTCACGACCAATTCGGGTCACGAACAGCACCGTTCACATAATTTTGCTTCTGTTCGCGAACGCCGGATCGGGTGACGAACAGGATCCGCGGCCATTTTCCCTGCCGCGACAAGTGGTTGTGGCTTTGCTTGGGGGGGGGGGCTG